GCCCAGCCCAGCCCGGCCCGGCCGGGAGCGCTTCTCCGCGGCCTCCCTCGGTGAGTTCTCTCGGGGGGAAGGAAGGGGGGGACACGACGCTCCCGGGGCCGCCCGCCGGGGCTCGGGAGCGGCGGAGGCCGGGGAGGGCTGGAGCCGGAGCTGGGGCAGGGGCAGCGTCCGCGGGGAGAGGCGGGGGAAGCCCCGGCCGCCCTCGGCACCCCGGGGCTGCGCTGCTGGCAGCGCCCCCGGCCCCTCTCCCCGGGGGCCAGGAAGGGTCCCCAGGGGTGTCCCGTGTTGCTCAGCGGGTCCCGGCTCTCGGCACGGCTTGATGCTGGTCCCGAGCCGGCCCGGCCGGAGGGGTCTGGGCTGCCGCACCAGCTCCAGGCTCCATCGCCCGACCCGCTGCTGCACGTCGGGTCCTGTAATCGCAGCCCGGGGCTCGTCCCCGCGTCGGGGAGGAATCCCACGCGTCGAGGTGGGGCCGCGGTGTCGTCATCTGCCCTCGCTCCTCGGGGAGAGGACTGGGCTGCAGCCCTGCGATCCCCACATCAGTCTCTGCCCGCCTTCCACCGTCCCCTCGTTCACCTCCTGCTCCAGATGCTGCAGTTCACACGTCTGACTCCCTGGGCAGACTGTCCAGGCTGGCTTTGTTCCTCTGGCTTTGTTCCTAAAGTGCTGTTGGTGGATGCCTCACCAGCTCTCAGGAAACATGTTCAGCATGCAAACACCGGTGTCGCACTCGGCTTTACCTGCCCCTCTGTTTTCAGAGAGACAAAAGAGAATATGGGTCTTTGAGACTGGCAGGTGGGGAGGAGCTGGTGAGACCTGGGGGAAACAGCATGGGGAATAGTATTAAAAGGAGAATATTAACCTTTCTCATTGCAGTCAGCAAGCTTAGGCAGGGACTGACACCACTTGGGTAGGTCCACAGCACATGGACCTCATTTCCTGACCCCTGATTCTGCAGGAGGAATGGTTGCAGATCCAGGTTCTGCCCTGTTTTGGTGCAGCCCTCAGGCATGGAAGTTATCCTGATGTGACTTTCCATTTCAGCTAAAACTGTTGAGGAAGGAATCAAGCATGCAAGACCAGCTGCATGGAGATTAGCCCTTTGATTTGCTGCAGATGACTTGTTCTGCTTATCACAGCTTATCACAGCCGTGGGATGATTTTTCCCATGCTTTTTGCAGAGATTGGCTCGTGAAGGCAAGAAGCTGGGTTGGAGTCAGCTCTGTGTGTGGTAGCAGCTTCCTGGCCAGGGACACAGGAACAGCGAAAATGTCGTCTGTGAAGAAGAGGGAATGCTTCAAATCAGATGCAGTGGGTCCAAGGGTGTGAAATACATCTGCCCATGCCTTGTCTGTTCCCATGTTTTGTAGTTTACTTTGGTGCCAAAAACAAGCAACAAAAGGAAGCTGTGGTTCTTACAGGCTCTGAAAGGTCTCAGTTTGCCAAGGGGATAAGTATCATTTTTACTGCTTGCTCAGCTGCTGCAAAAGGCACAAAGAGTCGAGTTAATGGTTACTAAACTTACAGGGACGCTCTGGGAGAGAGAGAGCTGGAGCCTGCATTGCTTGACTCCTAGGCCAGCATTAAACTGTGGTCCTGGGGGAGAAGTGAGCAGCCCTCCAGGCTCAGCCAGGGTGAGTGAGCAATGCTAAAGTTCTTGGGTGACCCTGTCCCTCCTGTGCAGGGCAGGGAACAGGGCTGGAGCAGCCCTGTGGCTGCTTCCCTGTGAGTGTTCAGGCTGGCAGGGGGTAAGAACAGAGAGGAGCTGCACACATGTATCTGTGTACCTGGTCTTAACCAGCCTGTTTTGCAGAGTCTGCCTGCATCTCACAGCCTGTGAATGCACTAAATGGTGTTTTTCTGGTGGGAGCAGGTCAGGTACTGTATTGTTGATGTTTAGGTTTCTAATATGGTGATAATAGAAGATGCTGTCCTGGGTGCAGACAGTGATCAGGTCAGCCCCTGAGGGCTGACCCTGTTCCCTCTTACCTCTCCTCTGTGCTCACAAGCACGTGCTCCTGCTGTGTTTCCCTGGTGCCTGATCCAGTGCTTCTCTGATCCTCATGTGCAGGGAAAAGCCAGACTGCTTTTGGATAGGAGGTTACACAGGTAGAGAATGAACCCAGCAAAAGAAATGACTTGTTTGATAGAGGAGTAGTGGGTGGAATTGGCTCAGTACAGGACTGTTGGTGCTGAAGACCAAGCAGGCAGGAATGGCAGCAGAGGAGCTCCACACATCCCCACTTGGCAGAAGTGAGCCACGAGGTTCTCTCACTTGTGCCCCCCAAGCAGGCCCATGGTCAGCAGGAGAAGAGCAGCAGCTTGGGAATTCTGTACCAGTAGTTGGTAACTGAGGTTTGGCAGCTGCTTCCCAGGGCTGGGAGACTGGTACTGGGGGCCAGTGTCCCACATAGGGACACTCACTATAGGTACCTAGATGGGCAAGATGCTTACTGTTGTAATGAGGTTGTCTGATCTTGCAAGATCCCAATCCAGAGGTGATGTGACTTGCAAATCAGGGAGTGGGTGTCATTTGCAAATTCCCTGCAGCGGGGCAGGGTGCAGTTGGGATGTGAAGGTATAAAACGAGCTTTCCATCCCCCACCTCCCATCAACTTGCCTTTTCCTCCTTCAACCCCCAGCAATAATTGTCTGCTCTGTTACAGGTCTTGATTTCAGCCTGTCATTTTCGTGTAAATTACTGGGTTGGAACACGAGTTCAGATCAAGATCAGATGTGCATTTCAAGGCCAGTAGCTGTTCTGGAGTGATCTCATGGTGAATGCTTTTTTTTCCCCTTTTTTTTTTTTTTTTTCTAGAATGAGAGAGCCTGTTCTGGCTTAGTTGGATCCATTATCAAGGAGATTAAATAATACCAAGCCAGCGTCCTTTTATCTCCGGCTGAGAGTCTGTGCCTGCTTTTCAGAAATAGCTTTCCCAGAGCAGCTGGGTACAGGCTGCACATGCAATGCTGGTGTGCAGTAGTCAGCACTGCTTACATTGCCTCTGCTGCTGTGTCCAGGAGATGAATAACAGCGTTTTGCTAATGGGTCTCATGTCAACAGGGGTGATTTACCAAGGAAGACTGCAGTGCATTAGTTGCTATGACTCAGACTCACTCAGCCTTGTACTGATCGTTTATTGGTTTATAAATTAAACTGCAGATGCTGTGTCCCGTCAGTGCCGGCATGCCGAGGATCCTGAAAGGGGTTCTTCCCGGAGGGTTGTCTCAGAAACCTTTGAATGATGCCTCAGGAGTCAGGGCATGCAGGTTGTAGCCCCAGCTCTTACAGCAGTGACTCCAGCCACGCTGCCCTGGCGCCTGTCAAAATCACGATGTGACTCTGACGAAGCAGTGAGGCTCTTGTGGCACCTGCTGAGAGCTCACCAGCAGCCTGTGCCTGCTGGGCTGGCATCCTGCATCCTCGTGTTCTGAGCAGGGAGCAAGTCCCTTGGGTTTCTTGTAGGCACAAAAATGCTATCCAGGGGATCTTGGTGAGCAGCACAGCTCCTGCCCCTTCCTGCTGGAAGGGTCTTTTCTCCTCCTATCATGGGAAGGGGAAATAGAACAGGGATCAGTGTGGGCCAGGGCAGGGACTAGCAGATCTGTGCTGCACTGAAAAATACTTTGGAAATTAGAGAGATTTTTTTCTAAGCAGGTGACTCTGTTCTCCCCAAGACCTGAGAAGCCAGCTGGGTTCTTCCCCATAAACCCAGTGTCTGCCGCTGCATGATCCTGCAGTGAAGTGTTTTATCTTGGTTCCTTTTAAGGTTCATTCCCAGCCTGCTCAGGGGAGGTGACAACACAGGTGTGTTCTCAGGGGGGGTGCAGCCTGGTGGAGCAGGGGCTTCAGCTTCCTCTGGGCAGGCTGTGTTTGAACCACAGGAGCTGTTTAGAGGGAGCCCAAGGTGCAAGATAATTCAAATCTCAGGCCAAAACCTGTCAGATCATGGCCAGCTACCTTGTGTTTCCTGCTTACTGAAGGCACACAGGGAGCTGAGCTGAGAGCAGCTCAGCTCTTTGTGTGTTTGCATTAAATGTTTCTGTGTGGGGGAACAGAGCCAGGAAGGATTTTCTGTTTTGAAGGTACTGATATTGCAGCAACCACGGACATTTCAGGTTCAGTGCTGGTAAAAATGCTGATTAGATCCACAGTAGGGATGGTGCTGCTGGACCCCTTGTTTCACCTGCATGGGGTCCAATTCAGGGTGGTTTCCTACTTGCAGATCATCTCTGTAGATAGGGTTGAGCTGTCTAACAAAGTTCAGAAGTTCCCCTATTTATATTTATATTTATATTTATATTTATATTTATATTTATATTT